TTTCTTAAGATTGATGAAGTCAAATACTCAATGGAGGATTTGCCTGCCTGTTTGTCTACAGTAATTTAAGTTGGTGCAATATAATTGTGAGAGTGTAATTCAGAGACTAAACTGGTATTTGATATTCAATTTGATTAAGTTGGTTCATTTAATTGTGACTGTTTTGACCTTTTGAGTATGCTGAAAATAATGAAAAGTACCTCTTGCATATTTTTACTAGTTGGCATTTAAGTGCACAGATTCAATTTGCTCTTGGTTATGCTAGAGCTCCTCTGCCCTATGCAGACCATAGTCACGCTGCTTTTGGTGACGTTTGTCCCGAGACTTGCATCTAGTGAAACACTGGCTGTTTCCAGAGTTGTTAGTGCTGCAGCCTGGGAACAAGGCTGGGGGTCCTCCAGCAAGTTGCAAACTATAAGGAGATCCAGAGTGAAGACAGAGGAGGAGAAGACAGGATTTCCGCACAGAAGCGGCTAATGTTTGGGGTCAGGGAGGAGGAGGAAGGGAACAGAATGGGGTAACAGCAAGGAAAGGTTAAATATGTCACTGCTTATAAATAGCAGTGACAGGTTAAATATGTCACTCCCTCCCTCCTTTATAAGGGAGGCTTTAGCAGGGAAAAGTAATTGGAATATTTGTGCCAAATGTGGGATGTTGCCTGAATCCTAACATAGCACTCTAAAGATGATTCCACTTAAATTTTTAACTGAAAAATGAAGCGGCCTATTGCTAGGTAGCTGGTAGGCAAATAATTCTTCGTCAAGCTTTAGTTTTTCAGGCAAAGTGTTGTATAGATTTGTGTATCTTCAAAAATTCAGGGTAGCCAGTTAGGCAGATTCCTCCCTTTGAATTCACTGAAATGAAACAATGCTTCCTGGATTATAATAAAGTTGATCAATGTTATACAATTTAAGTGTTGCACTGAAACTCTAACATAACTGTAGCTCAGGTACTTTTGTATTACTGCTTGCTTATCAGTGTGTGGATGTGTTTACCTGTAAAGCACACCTGACGGCTGGATTTATTCTTGTTTATCACATTGACTTTTGTAACAAGGGCCTAGAAGAGATTTTCAGTTTTTCTTTTTTTTCCTATAAGCATGAGGAACAAAATGTCAAATCTGCCTGCTTTTGTTGAAGGTTTGTGAGGAGACAGATACTTTAGCTGAAATGTGACCATTAACGTCTTAAGCTTTTTTGAAGGCCTTTTAGTCAGTGGAACTCAACTCACGTTTAAAATAACCGGTTGCTCATTTTAGTTTGTGATACCTGAATTCACCCATCACTTAACCTTCTGTATTTCCTTTAAATGTTGCAAAGCTTGTTAATTACTATGATGTTTTGCCATCACTTAGGACTTGTCTTAAACTAGGATATAGCCCTATGTGTGTTAAAAGGAGATAGAAGCCAGCACATGTTTGTGCTGTGATGAAGCAGTGATGTTTAAAAACGCACCCATCTACTTCAAGCAGAGTATTTCACGTCACACTGGTTTTGGTCTTAACGCTCTTGGGTTTTGAAAGATTTTTACTGTCATCTTCTCTCATTTTTACCTCTTTGCAATTTCATTCTATTTGTTGCTACTGCTGTCACTTAAGCGCGTGCTTCAGGTGAGCAGAGGTTTCATACCCTGAGTTCTTTGCTTTTCTGCTTAAACTTTATGCGTTCTTTTCTGGTGATTAATTCTTCCAGCCTGAACGTGTTGCTGTTCACTGAACTGTTTGGTATCTGCCCCTTTCCTGCCACCAAATAGAAACAAATTAATGTCAAGCCAGTTTCTATTTTGTGAGTAACGTTCTTGTTTCTTTCCCCCCCACAGGGTTTAAACTGCCTCGTAAGAAACAGTAAGTCCTTTTTTTTCTTCTTTGTGGTGTTCTCATCAGACCTTTTCGTTTTTTAACTGTGTTCATGCAGCAACTTTTTTCTACTAAAATCAGGGAGATGCAAAATGAAGCATTGCTATCGCACCTACCTTTGGAAGTTTTCTATTTGATCCGTAATCAGTTCTAGCCAAAAGAGAAATGCAAAGTCAAGTCTGTTTTTTCAGGGTAGAGTTCACGGGGGAATGGAGGGTGAAACACAACCCAAATTGTTTATCATCTGTTAAATGCTCAGACAGTCAGTTATTAAAGAAAGACAAGTTTGTCTATAAGTGTTGTTTACATTACAAGCTTACCATCAATAATAGTACTTAAATTAACGTATAAACTAGAATAAAAAAGAAAGGAACAGGAAGGGGGTGGTGGCACTGTTGAAGGCAGTGAATATAAATTATCAGGCATTAAGTACAGTGAATTGGAGAAGGAAACTACAATTATTGCAAGCCCTACTGAACATAGTTGTCATTGGATAAATCGGGTGTAAGGAGTCAAATCTTAGCTATGGCACAGATCTAATACACTTAAGTATACTTAAATATCAGTAATATTTAAAAAAAAAAAAAAGTTCAGCAGTTGCTCATTTGGTGTATGGGAGACATCTGAATAGATCTGCAGATCTCCTTGGTATTTTGTTCCAATGGTTGTTCTAAGCAGGCTTATTTCTGCTTCTGTGCCCACCCTATGCTGTGCAGGTGCAAGTATTTACGCAGACATGCTTGGTGACCCCAACCAGGGAGCTGCTGGTGCTGAAAACAACCGGATTTTAAGCTTTTTTTGGCAAGAGAGGGAGTCAGAAGAAGGAATGGGATGAGATTTGTATTGGCAGAGAGCCATTAGAATGCAACTTGACAGCGCAGCCAAGGCAAACCGCAGCTCCACTGTTCATTAGTACACTGCCTTGTTTGAGTGAGTTTGGCTTAAATTCCGCCTTTTGGTTCTAACTATGTTTTTCTCCTCTAGGGGAAAGACTTGTTAGTGCCTGGTACACTCTACCCTAGAATATGTTATTTTTCTAAGACTCTTCTAAATTTTTTTTTTTTGGTAAAATGAAGATGATCTAACTATTTCCTAAGCCTAAAAGTATGCTGACATCAGAAGGGATGGTGCCAACTTTGCACCACTCCCAATTGAGAGCTCCCATCACTGACCCAGCAAAAGAGCCCAGAAGTGTGCTTTCACGGGGGAGCTAAGCCAGTGCTGTAGCAGCAAACTGCTGCTGGGAAGCGCAGCTCCCAACTCTATCCTTGCCTCCAACTGGCTGGACGTGGCCACTGCTCCCCTCTGGCAATGCCGGCAGCTGTGGCTGGCAGCCCAAACTGAGCTCACCCTGACTGAGTAACCCACCAAAGAAATGGTGAAATTTTGTTTGCTGGATCGGTTTCTGAACCAGTTCATCGCGCAGCCCCATGGTTGCTGAGCTTGTGCAAGTGAGTACGTGAAAAACATAGCCAAGAAAGAACAGCCTTTCATTAGCAGCATAGTTTTTATTGGCTTTAGCTGAAAGTGAAACTACATGTTTTGCCTTTATTTGTGGAATTCAAGCGACAAATTCATTCTTTGCTCTTCATTTCAGTGTGACAGCATTTTAATGTGGGCACAGGAAGAAGCTAAAGAATATCATACCTATCTCTCCAAAGCCTGTATTTTACCTACCCTTTTGCCTGTTCTATTTCTTTTCTGACATATGAGCAGGCTAGCCTGATCACTGTATATGATTCAGAGATTGCATGACCCAAGGAGCTCATGTTCAGTAGTTTTGCTACTAGGTTTTCAGAAGTACTGTAACTCAGTTTGTTAATTCTCATTAGGTATATGTGGTCTACACGACTTGGAATTATATGCACGTTACAGTATGTCAAAGTTTTGTCTGAATGGGTCCAGTGTATGGAATGGCTCAGGCATTTGATATGATTTTTTTATATATGATTTTTAAAATGCGTAGCATCAGGCCTATCCTCACCCTCCCTCTCCCCCCTCCCCAGCCTATTAACAACTTTCAACTGGTGACTTCCCACTGGCAACTCGTCCTTGAGATTTGTCAGACACTTCTTCCTATGTCTGTGTTTCATTGATGTTGCACAGAGCTGTTTTTAATATGTTCTGATAGTAAGTCACATGTCTTACAAAAGTCAAATAGATTGTCTGTCCATGAAGCCTGTCATACCTTTTTGGTTTTTTCCTGATGAAATTACAGGACCTGTTTTTTCATAACACCATGTTTACTGATGTTAATTATTTCTCTATCCAGAGGGCTGCTTGGTTTAGGAAAGATTTAATAAGAGGTGGAAGCTGAAGTGAGATGTATATTCAGATTAGAAATAAGGCAGTTTTTAAACAGAAAGTAATTAACCTGGAACAATTTGCTCAACTACAGGAGTGATTTGCTTGAGTATCTAATAGACCTTTTTATCATTGGAAGGCTTGAAATTAGTATTAGTCTTCTAACATAGATTTGGTTTGACAAAAAGGTATAGACTTGCTGCAGGAGGTACTGAGTAAACTTACTTGATCTGTTTAAGCAGACTACATTGTGGTGATATTTCCTCTTTTCCTCAAAATCCGTGGAATGAATTATATATTACTAGAATGCATGAGTTCAGAGTATTACAGACTGTTTAGAGCAATTGCATTTCCCAGTTCAGGCTTGAGCCTGTGCGTGCTGAAAACTAGCTTTATTAACTGTGAGGCAATCTTAATAAATTATCACCAACTTTTGCCTCCCGAGTACCGCTCGGGCAAAGCACAGACCCTAATTTCAATTAGCTGCCCTTTTGCCATCCCGTAAAAGGCAGCATACACATTTAATAAGTTGCTATGCATGACAAAATACCAGGAGAGATGGAAGCAAGATAGGACTAGTGTTAATTTGTTGACAGAACCAAAACCACTTTGGAAAGCCAAATTTTGTGTCAAGGGAAGTGTTTCCTTTGCCCTGCTCCTAAATAGCAGCCTTCACTTGCTCGACAGGTACCTGCATGGAGGCAAGCTGGCTGCACGTTCCAATGTGGACACCTTCTGCTCCAAGTAGTCTTCATGTCTCTTCTGATGTTTTCCGTCAGATGGATGGAAAATTGTTCCCTGTGCTTCGGATAGAATGGAAAGTGGCCACTGATGGTAAGTGGTGGTGGTTTAACATGAGCACGGAGCAGAGGAATTAGGTGTGATCCAGTAAGGACAAAGAGGAAAATGAGTACTCAAAGTCTTTTGCTGATCTACTCTTGGGAGCAGAGCTTAGAGATTTGAGGGTTTGGTGGTTCTTTTTGTTCTGGGTTTGTTTATTCTCGAGGATGGTTTCTTGCTGCCTGAATCAGGGCTCTGGGTTTGCTAGGCCTTCAGCAGAGTTTAAAATGCTTCCATTAGTGTGGAGAAGTAGATAAAATGTGAAAAATGGATAAAAAGAGAATGCAGCAGTGGCACACACCTTAGCTGCAGTAGTGAGGGGAGAAGGGAGATTCCCACTTCCAGCAGTACCTTTTCAAGAACTGGTCTGTCAAGCAGAGTAGTGACTGCGACTGTCTCGTACAGGAGAACTTCATCTGTGGACAGAACAAACAGGAATTGATTTGAGAGGGAGCAAATAGTTGCTTTTGTGCTGTTATCCTTAACCTAGTGCAAGTTCCTCCCATTTAGGATGCTCTCGTCCTTGTAACTTAGATTTCTTATATGCAACATGTATCTTGATAAAGAAAAGAGTTGTCTCATTGCTGGAAGTTTAGGAAGTATTAGTAAGTCAACAAGGTACTTAACAAGTACCAGTAAGGCTTTTTTTCCACTCTCCAAACATCTTTGATTTTTCATTTGTTTATGATGTTCTCCTTGCATACCCTTGTGCACAGCTTGGCACTGTTTTGAAGCAGAATAAAATACATTAACTTTCTGATTCTGTAGGGTCTATGTCTGAGGGCTCGTCTGTATAGCGTTTATAATCTCAACATAGCTGTATTAACGTAGAAGCAGGTGTGGCTCAGATAACAGAGTCATCTGGTAGTCATGGCTATCAATGTGCTTGTTGGGATTATTTATGTCAAAATAAAAGCATGTTTGTTCTGGTGCCAGAATCGCTTAAAGCAACCTTGACAGGCAGGGCTGAACACAACTCTCACGAGCTGGGAACTGCCAGGACGCTTGGAAAGATGAAGTTATCTTCCACTCTGCTCCTTCATTTGCACGGAGGGAGCACTTGCCACGCAGGACAAACTATAATCTGAACGTGGTGTTGGTCAGCCCTGCACACTTCGTTTTTCATGGCTGGACGTGCCTGTGTCAGCATCCCCAGGACCTCAAAGCAGTGAGACTGCGACAAGACTAGGCTCAGTGGTAGGCTCCTTGGGGGTTGTGACCTGTGCACATGGAGCCGGAAGGAAAAGAAAAACCTTTCTCCATCCCTGTGCCTGCAGCTAGCATCCAGTGTCTTCGGGGGGCAGAGCTGGCTGTGATGCAGGTGAACAGCAATCAACAAATCTGTGCCCAGTTTGATTTTCAGAGCAACTTGTCACTTCAGGTTCGTCCGGATGGAGGCCGGGTGAGTGCAAAGGGCTCTAAACTACCTTTTTAGTCCATAGGTTTGTTTCAGCTTCACCTGTCATATAGCAAGTCTGTTGATGAAAAGTACGGAGTGGTTAGCTGGAAGAGGTGATGTAGTGATACAGATACTGTGCTTGAGGCCTGGTGTAATTTCCCATTTATTTTATGCTTTCGTGTAGCTGGATGCAAGCTGCTTACCTATCTTGGTTTCTCTTTCACTTTTACTGTCCTTCAGGTTATAAATGTCTTCTGATGCTTTGTTGCTCTCAGTTCAGTGCCTGAACACACTTCTTTGTTCTAGGGATTCTTAAAATGAACAATTGTAGCAGTTTTTGCTTTCCGCTTGACAGCGGTGACACTTATCTTTCTTTAACTCAGTCTTTCCCTGTACTTCCCATTCTCTCTTGCACTGTCCTGCTGTGGATAAAAACACGAACCTGAGGGTTTGTCTTTCCACCTTATGCTCACAGATTAGGAGACTCATCAGAAAAATGTTGAGCATCCACAGCTCCCTTTATAGCAGCAGGAAGTTGGAGTTTATTCCTTACCTCGCAGAATTTGGCCAAAGTTAACTTACACTCAGGACCCTGTGCTTTCCTCAGCGTTTTCGCAGCATTGCTGATATGTGAAAAGCAGTATAGAGGGGGGGGAAAAAATAGGCAATGGCCAAGTACAGAACTATACATATGTAGTTGCAATTATAAATGCTTAGCACTTGCATGGCACTGCAAGATTCATATAGGACTAAAATTTTAGTCTCAAAACTGCATATTCTACTCTAATCTCCTTTCAGTTCAGAATGTAATCTAGTGGAAATTGTCCACACAGCTGAGTTTGGCATGAGATTGTTGCTGCCAGCTCAGAGGTCCTGAGAAGTAACTGTACTCCTCCCAATCCAAACATGAGAATTTGAGACAGAAAAGCAAGAGCAAGGGACTGGTTTATTTAAGGCATTTAGGTCTCCTTGTTTAACAGTCAAGCTTCAAAAAAAGGCCATATAGGATGGGGGAACACAATGGGACCAAACCAAGTCAGCTGTTAACTTTAGTGCCTTGATAGCATAGCTATCTGATTTTAAGTCCTTTTCAATGTGTTTTGTTTTCAGTGGAACTTCAGTTTTGACCGCTTTGAGGTGGAACCTGGCCAGACTTACCAAGTGACCGTCTACCACCTGCCCAAACTGGGTGTGGATGGAGACCACAATTGCAAGTCCATGCCTTACACAATGCCTGGTAAGAGGTGCTCTATTTCGTTAGGCCTTGAGTTTAGGATTTTGTTTGATAGTTTGTAGACTGGGTTTTTCTCCAGACCAGGTATGTGAACTGGGAGCAAATTTGGCCACGGGATGACAGTATTGTAAAACGCTTGTCCTTTCTAAATATAGCTGTTTAGAAAAGTCATGATGTTGGTCTTTTTTACAGTGCTACTGTAGCTTATCCCTAAAGTCCATATATCATTTGTGTTACAAGTCACCGTTCTTGTTTCTGGGACCCTCTAACCAAAAGATAACACACAAATTTCTGCTTGGAAGAAGATGCATGGGCAGGAACAATGAGGTGGAGGCCAGGCGCTTTCCTTCTGAGTGACTAGTTCCTAGATGAAGGTGCTGCTGTAGAAATCTTTATAGGCTCTCTAGAAAGCTGAACAAAGTATTAGGCTTGAGCCCCTGAACTGAGGCATCGCTCATTAACCATAGCTGCAGCAGAATTCGTAAACAGAAATTCATAATTAAATTGAAAGACTAATATGGGTGCACCTCTGAGAGGCTGTTTGAAGATGATAAATTTTATTTGCTGGATATTGTTGCTGAAATGTTCATCAGTGGAGCAGATAAAAAGATATTCCATCTAGGTGAATGGGGCTCTAGACTAATCTTTTGTGCTCTCTGCTGGCTATCAGTGCTGCTTTTGTTTAATTTAAAATCTTTGAAAGTTGCCCCTGTGTTTGTGGAAGCTGGAAGTACAGACCAAAACTTCCAAATCAGGATGAGTAAAATTTAGCTTCTAATGTCAAATTTTAGGCACCTAAAGGTTGATTTATAAGGCACAGTTAGGCAAAGTTTACCAAGAATCTTGATAGTTATGTGTCTGACCCTTTCTTGTGCATATGAAAATAATTCTCTAAAAGAACCGGTTTTGGTTTTTTCCCTTTGAAGATGCTGAGCATCTGTGGTGCTTTCTGGCTGTACTAACCGGTTTGTAAATGTTTGGCATTCAATACACAGCTTGAAAACTAGTCCATCATTTTCTTCTCAACTTGCTTAGATTTAGGAACACAACTCTGTAGTTACAGAATTACAAAGTATGCAATGTGTTAGTGTGCAGCTGGAAAAGGAGAGCAGACACTTGATTTTTAGCACTGGTTATAAGGAGCACTTTCTAGCTCTGATTCTACTCTGTTCTTCTGGAACCTAGCGCATTATGTCAAGGTCAGCAGTTGCAGAGAGGTTTGCTGATCAGAGCTTGCCTGTGAATTATAGGAGCATGAACTCAAAATAAAGTTGGAAATTTAAAGTCCATGGTATTTTCTTTCATCTGTTTAAGCAAGCAATGATAGGGAGTTGTTTCTCTTCCTTTGTTGCCGCCATACCCTGGAGGAGAAATATAGTTTAGGCTGAGACTTGTGGATCCCACACAGCTAAATGTGTAAGTTTGGATCTGAGTGTGAAAAAGATCCCCAATAGCAGGGCCAACCTAGTAAATTAAGCTAAGAGAATTGTAAATTGGGAAGAACGTTTTTAGGATCAAGAAGGAGATTCCAGCCTGCTGATTTTCCTGGGACAGAACACTTTTGGAGGCATCTATGGCTGTGGCGCTCTCTAGGTCTGGAGATCAATATAAAGTTGTAATTCCTCTCCCTTGAGAGCGTATTATCATACGAGCCTCTCTGCACAAGTCTTCCATCAGCAAGTGTTGTCAAGCAATATTTTTATTAAGTATTGTATGTATTGTATGTATTATTAAGTATTGTATTATTAAGTCTTGTCTTGTTAATTATCCCCGCCCTTAAAAACATAACATCAGTGGAGGGGATAGTTTCTAGCATGGAAACAGTGACGCTATTCTGACGCAGAATTTTGCTACTGCATTGAAACAAAGCTCCCTACTTAACAAGGAGGGCTCCACATTAGATATCTGGTTTCTGGTGAGAAAGTGGGTGTTTTTCTTGAATGGAAGTGCAGTATTTCTGACCTGTCAACCGATGGTCTCTTTCCTGCAGACTGCAAGGACTCTCTGATGAAAAGAACTGTTCCATGTATAAACACAGGTAAAAGTTGTCTGTTTGAGTCGCCTAGTCATTGGTGTCCTGTTGAAATGTTTCTGACAGTTGAGAGACTTGAATTATCTGCGTTACTTCCAGGCAGCCTGTGGGAGCCCAGGATCCAAGGTAAAAGTCTAGATGATGCAACTCTGCTCGTGAGCTTTAACCCGTGGACGGAGTCAGCCCATTATCAAATCCATGTGGCCAGTTTCCTGAATGAGAAGAAATGTAAAGTGGCCACACATAATTTCACTGAGGTAATTACTTTCCCAAAATAATTTCTGCTATGATAACTTAGACAAAAATGTCTTGAATAGTCGCAAAACAAGCAGGTAGAGCCGTAATGTTAGGGGAACTAACAAATGTACTTTAACAGTGATTTCCAAGGAATTATTTTCAGGTTTTTTTTTCCCCCCCTTGGAAGATGGAACTTTCTTTCAGGAATTTGGTGGATGAAAGATCAAAAGGATGTTCTCAAAGGTATCTTCTCTAATGCATTAGAGTAGAAGACTCAATTCAGTGTTATTTATCCAAGCAATGAGACAGTTATGGGGCAGTCTATAAGCACCTGTAAAGGAGACAGAAATTTGACATTGGAGTCTTTGGACTTTATTTCCTTTGTCAAGCTAGTGCCTGGAAGACAAAGCTAAATAAATCAGAATTGAGGGGCAGAGTTTTAACAGTGAGTATAATAACTCGTTGAAGTAGTTTATCAGATGTTATGTTTGGGTTTTTAAAATCAAGACTGAGTGCTTTTGCAAGAGGTGTTCCAGTTAAACTGACAATCAGTTCCTGTAGGTCTTAAACCTGCGTTGTTGAGAAGCTCAAAGTAGATGCAGTGTTGTCTTCTGACATAAAAAACTGTCCCCCTCAGGAATCTGAAGGAGGAAGAATACTGAATATTTGATAGTAGTCTCTATCCTGCCGTGAGGGAGGGCAGGTAAACTGGCATTCAGCTTGCTTAATCTTTCTATTCCTTCCACAATAAACATCCTTCAGACTTCACGCGCTGATATACCTGAAGTTATTAATGACACAGCATGTACAGCTGTGTGCATACATCCCTGGCAGAGGTGACTATACCTCGTTTCAGAGTATGCCTCTGCTAATCATTGTAAGAATGTATTTACATTGAAAAGAGATTGGTTGTGTGCCGTGGATAACAAGGACAATTTATTGTCTGTTCTGGTGTCACAGGCAGCAGTGTTAAGTCAGCTTTGTAAATTCAAACAAACCAGGAAGCTTGTTAATTAAAAATGCGAACATTGAATAGCTTAAGATATCAACATTGTTAAGAAACCGTAAGTTTAAGTTAATGCTTTTGAAGTTACATGGAAGACATCCTTAATTATTTATATTTCCTACTACCTGTGCCACCTTAGCCTGCTGTCTTAGCTGCATTCCAATTTCTGTCACACAAGATGCCCACAGTGACGGTCGCCAGGACATTTGTTTCATCCTCTGAGCTTCTGATTCCAAACAAAATGAGGAATTTCTGCTTTTTTGTACCACACCAGTAACTTGCCTTTCCCATATTCTCTTCTCTCCTCCTTTTCTTTCTTACTGCTTTCACTCTGTTTTCTTCTTCCTTGCCTTACAATAATTGCCTCTGATTTCTGCAGGATGGGCTGCAGCAGCAAGTAAATGTTACAATCAAAATAGAGAAGAACATAAGAGCTTGTTGCAACTACAAAATACAGGTACAGTCTCATTATTCCTATATCCTTCCTTCACCAACGAGAACATGAACAACTTCTGAATATAATATTTTTGCGCAGTGTTATGTTCTGAGATTGACTAATCTCCAGTTGCCCATATCAGGGAAATAATGGTTATGGCCTGAGAATAATTTCTCACATAAAGGTGTCCCCTGTAGACAATGGCTCTTCATTCTAGTATAGGGTAGCCAAGCTTGAGTGACAGAGGAAAAGGATTAGTACGTATGCAACCCCAGGAGCCCGCTGCCTTATTAATGTACAGTGAATAGTGTGAAAACCGTTGATTAATCTTCTTGTTTTCTGAAGGGAAATGGGAATTCTGTGTCCCTGTGCTGAGCTTTAGGGAATGAAGAGGCAGAGGGAGACTAAAGTAGGGAAGAGAATTGCTGTTAAGTATAGCTTCTGTTTTCTGGATTTATTTCAACTACAGGTTCAGCCATTTTTTGTGAACTGTGGCACAGACTGTCTGAGACATTCCACTTTCGTCCCATGTTCACCGATGCCAAGTGAGACCATCTCTTCTCTAAATTAGATTCTTATTGTTTTACAGAGGGAAGCTGAAGCTTTAATGTAACTCTGTCTTTTGCAGGTACAGACCCATCAGGTAAGAAGTCCTTCCAATACACTGAAACTTCCCTTGCTGCTCTTTTCCTGTCATATAGAATAACAAGTGATCGTTACTGGGAATGACCTGATGGTCAGGAAATATCCCCTTGTAGCACTGCTGAGCTCAGAACATGAGTTGCGTTAGAGTTACCTCACTGTGCTTTAATAAGGCAAGTATTTCTATGCAGTATGAACCTTATGGAATGATTGGGTTTGTTGTTTATTATTTTAGAGGTACTTTACTTGCATGGAATTCTTTGAGGAAACACTATTTTGACAAGAGGAGTCTTGATTTAAAATACTTTCTGTCTCTTTGCTCAATGTTCAAAAAGTGCATAGTAAAAAGAGCTTTGGGAGAGAATAGCTTGCATGTTTTCATCTTTGTGAACATCAAGATAAATCATGTGTATAATGATTTAACTTTTTTTTTCTTGGCTGCAACAACCCCTGTGAAAAGCTAGTTTTATCCAAGATGAAAACACACAGGCATGCACACCCCTGTGTGTTGAAATAATGCTCTACCCTAAGTTTTTTTTGAGAAGGTAGATTATGTGAACAAGCAGATATGGGATGCATGCTGTTCACAGAGGAAGGCTATTGGTCTGTGGTTTCAACGTGTTCCGTGTATGGCTCTTTGTGGAGTAAGCTTATGGTGCAGAGCATCATCATGGAAGCAGATCTTTGTTTCAAAATGCTACTGTGGCGCTGCTGGGGAAGGGCAGTGGGGGGAAGTACCAGGCTGTCAGCGTGCTCTGTCCGTAGCTTTGGACAGAACTGTGGTCCTTCTACCTTGGCTTCTGCTACTCAAGAGACTTCTATTCCTAGATGAAACTCTTTTGCTGTTCAAACTAGCGTCTGAGTGCTCTTTTTATACCATAGGTGATATGATTATATGGTTATACTGGTGTATCACTGGAATCTGTGTGTTACTGGTGGGATCAGTCATAGCAGCTGTCATTTGTATGACCAAAAAACGAGCAGGTAAGACTCATACCAACTGGAAAGAGAAAGCAGAGTGCTACAACTGTATCTTTCCTGTTCCTTTGTTCTTACTGTTTTCTGCCTTGCCTTTGTGATGTTGCACAACAGATATGATGCTTATGTAAACACTTTCTTCTGTTTATATCACAGGACTTGTGTAACATCCTAAAACCATCCACCTAGTTAAGTAAAGTCTCCCATGGCTTGTGCTGGCTGACATTCCGCATAGAGCTTCAGAGGAAGCTTATAGGGAGGAGAAAAAAAAAAAGATTCCCACTAAACCAAGTTTCTGCAGATATCTCTTCCATTTATTTTTCTCCTGCATTGTGTAAGAGCCTTACAGGATAGAAACTTCCTGTTTTCCCAGACCGTAGTCTTTCCCCTGTCCCCCAATGTCTCTGCAAAACTCACTTCTATACTATTTTGAGTTTAAATAACGTTTTTCAGTGAAGATGCAAAAAAAAAAAAAAAGGGGGGGGCACAAAGATTGACATCGAGCAGTTTGGAAAACTGGACAATTAAAGACAAATTCATAGTCTTTTGTGCTGTAACCACAAGGCAGTTTTCACAGGGAGACTGTGCAACTCGCTGAGGGTTTTTACCTGAGAGGAGTAATCAAAATCTTTCAGAGGACTTCTCAGCATAAAAATTATCTGTAAGATGTACCTGGAGACGCTTTAACTTCTTCAGAAAAGCCTCTTAAGAAAAAGCTATCTTAAAAAAAAGCCGCTGCTTCTTAAGGAGAGGTAGGAGAAGGTGTGGGAGTTCTGACTTCATTTTTCAGAAGCAAGCCAGATTTGGGAAGGATGGAAAAAAATCGGTTTTAAGCGCATCCCTTCTCTCCGAGGAAAAACAAAGTAAAGTACATAGCAAAATTGGCTGTGGAAGAGTCTTTATTAATTTAATATGTTTTTATTAGGCTTCTCCCTTCCCATTTCGCCTTCCAGTTAGACTTTCAAATCTAATCGGTGGAAGGAATTGTTTTTAAGGGGATTGTTTTACTTGTTAGAGTTGACAGTGACTTTCTCTCTCTCTTCCAGGACGCCAGCAAGGGAAAGGCAACCACAATGGCTTGCAAACTGGTAAGAGATCCTGCCTGTATGTTGTCAAGTACTCTCCCATATGTAATGCATTCTGGAAGAGTTGTTCAGAAAGGGCTATCGTGGACTCTATTCCTCTGCAGGTGTTTCTCAGAACCAAAATGTAGCCTCAAAACCTTGCTGGTTAGCCAAAAGGAACTTCTTAAGAACTGGTAGCGTTGGACAGAATATACAAGTTGGAATGCCATCCTTTGGCAGATGGGAGATAACTACTTTGTAAAGTGTTCTTTTGTTGACACAGCTGTGGCTGTACTGGCAAAAGAACCCTGGCTAATCATCTAAGCCATAGCAGCAGTAGGTTGCTTTGGGGTGAATGCAGCTCTCTGGGGGGAATATAGCTACCCTTGCAAGACTATTGAAACCAGCCTGTTTATGCATGAAAGGTGAAAGTCTATGAACCATCCAGTTGTTGTTGTAAACCACAGCTCCCCTGTCTGGACTCCCATATTAAACTTCTGCAATGAGATGTTGTCAGCTTATTTTGCCAAGATAGCTACAAAACTGGTAATAGCTAGAGCCTTCTGTTAAAATTCTCCCAAGCTGATTGTTGCTGGCTTGCACCATTACAATTTCAGAAATGGGATTGGGATGACTCTCTTCCTGTCTTTCAGAGGTACTATCTCCAGACCTTCCTCTGCCACCCTTGAAGCCGCGAAAGGTTTGGATTGTGTACTCTGCTGATCACCTACTCTACGTGGATGTGGTGCTGAAGTTTGCAGAGTTCCTGATGACAGTCTGTGGCACTGCTGTAGCCTTAGATCTGCTGGAAGATCATCAGATCTCGGAGCTTGGGGCATTACCCTGGCTTACTCGACAAAAGAAGGAAATGGAAGACCTCTCTTCAAAGATCATTATCTTATGTTCACGGGGCACCCAGGCCAAATGGCAGGCCATGCTTGGAAGTGAGCCTGTGTGTCTCAAGCAAGATCAGCAAAAGCCAACTGGAGACCTGTTCACCCCAGCCTTGAATTTGATCCTGCCTGACTTCAAGAAGCCAGCCTGTTTTGGAATGTATATAGTCTGCTATTTTGAGGGAATAAGTAGTGAGAAGGATATACCTGATCTATTCAACGTCACATCCAGGTACCAACTGATGGACAAGTTTGAAGATATTTATTTTCGGATTCAGAACCTGGAGAAGTTTGAACCAGGGCGTATACATCGAATCCAGGAAATCACAGCTGAGAATTATGTTGATACCCCTAGCGGATGGAAGTTGAAAGAGGCAGTGCGAAAGTTCAAGGAGTGGCAGACAGAGCACCCAGACTGGTTTGAGACTGAAAGCATCTGCTTGGAAAATGATGAGGAGCTGCAGTCCCTGAACAGAGACAGTCAGGTGGATTCATTGCTGAATGAGCAGGGTGGAATTGTGAAACAGCAGCTGCACCTATGGGAGCCTGATCCTAGTTGCTGTTACATCGTCAACCTCCGCATGCATGAAGGTGAGAGCAGAGGATGCAAGCTGCAGCCTCAGCTGAATCTATCTGGGGATGCGACTTCTCAGACTATGGTCGTTCCTATGGATGAGGCCCCTCTAGTTCAGGTAGTGGAGCTAGTCTCTCCCATGGAAGAGAAAAATGTACTTGGTCATCATGTGGTGACTAACGAGGACTGCATGGAAGGAGCTCCTCTCCTGGAGACAAGTTTTCCAGTGAGGAATGACATCATCCTCCATGATGACTGTGAAGCTGCTGCAGGAATAGATGACAAGAGTCCTGCAAACCTCTCAGGTGACCTGAGACAACAGCTGAATGGACTCATGTACTCGCTTTATCAGCAGAGTGTCATGCCTTCAGAGCCCTCTTTCTGCCAAGAGGAAGCTAACAAGCAACACCAGTTGGTCTTAGATGACCAATGCAAAGACCAAAGACAATCAGTGCAGTCAGACCAGGGCTACATCTCGAGATGTTCTCCTTTGCCTCCTGATGACCTTGTGGAAGAGGAGGAGGAGGAAGAGGAGGAGGAGGAGGAGGATCCAGAGAAACAGGTGCTCTTTCATGAACTCTCTCCAGAGGTCTTGAACAGTCTAAAGAGTCTCCAGAAGCAGTTGTTTTTTCAGGACATTCAGCAGAGCTGTGACTGGGGGTATCTAGCTGAGGTGACGGACAGGGGCCAGTCCTTGGAGGACTGTGAGGCTCCATCTGGGACATACTCCATTTGAAATACAGGAATGGAAGGTGGTACAATGCATAGTGCTAAAACTGCATTTTAAACACCATCCTTGTCCTTGTATTACAAACAACTTACTGGTGGGAGCTTCCTGTCTGCTGTCAGGAGGTGGGATTGCCCACCAGATGAGTAATGTCATTGCTTGCAATCCCGGTGTGGAAGGAGGCAACAGGAATATTAGCGACTGCTATAAAAGAACAGGTGGTAATTCTGTTCCCCTGGGACATGTGTTGCATTGGATCTTTACTGCCTGAAAAATTACTGTGGTTTGTCCAGCTGTGCCTTCAGAATCCCACCAACCACCCTCAATTTATTGCACTAGACGGAAGTCGAGGCCAGAAATCAGAGCAGATTAGATAGCATAGCAAACTTTACATTGCCAGTTTGATGCATCTTTTAAATATTTGCTTGTAAATACTGTGTTAAAGATGTGTGCCTTAAACTTCAGCTAACTTAGGGCTGTCTCTGCCTGGCTGACTTCTCATTTTTGCCACGCATTCTTTGACACATCCACATTTCTGCAGCCATTCCGAAATCAAGTAGAGTACCTGAGCAGTAAGTGGGAGAAACCACTAAATTAGGAGGCTACTTTGTCTCCTTAATAACTCTCCTTACCTCTTGTGGCAGTTGGCTTGAAACCCACAGTAGGGGGGAAGGGGGGAGGCAGGGAGAAAGAACACTGGGCAGAAAATGGGATATGGGTTTATTGTCCAATTAAAAAAAGAATCTGGGACTGAATACAGAGTTGCTGAATCAGGAGAATTTGGCATATTCTGCAATGCGTTGCTGTGATGCTGTTTGCTTTTGGACACCTTAGTACCTGGAAGACTTAAAGATGTAGATAGTGGCACCCAATTAAGGAAATGAAAGACTATTGGGGGAGAGAGGGGGGTAGAATGTAGCTTGAACAGATGCTAACTGTTGTGAAATATTTGCTAATAATGAAGTGAGGGATTAGTCTTCCAGGAGCAGTGATGGAAACTGTACCAGTTCCAATGTCGTGAAAAAGAGGGCTTGAAGCACTAGAAAGAATAGTTCCCCCCCTGTAAGGGATCACCGTGGTTCCCTGTCATATCGCCTGGGCAGCAGTCTGGTCAAAGCTGGCATTCATCCTGTTTATTCTCATGGTTTCTGCAGCCTGGCAAGCTGGGAAACAGTCTGAGATGTAAACACATCCATGCCTTTCTCCTTCGTGCTCAGACAAGCTTGTCATCTTCCTGTCCTTGTAAGTTTAATTGTCAGAAAAAAGTTAAGAGAATTTTATTTTGGCTTTTTTAAATCTGATATTTCAGAAGATAACCTACTCTTCTATTTTTTCAACCCAATGGCGTATTATGTTTTTTTTATAAATTTGTATGTTTGTAACTTGTTTTTAATTTAAGGAACAAAACACAATATATTAGAATATATTTACTTAAACGCTTTTGTGTCCTCTTCTCAATTTCTGCCTAACAATCGTGTAAGTATTTTGTACAGAAATCTGGGGCAAAACTGAGATAAAACCAAAGTGAACCAGTTGACAAATGCCATAACCTTTCTGCAAAGCGCTGTGCTGCTGGAGGCTGCTGAGGGACATCACGTGTGAGAAATGCACATTTGCTCAAAATTGGTGTTAAAGTTAAATGTGTGTAACTTCTGTGCAAAGCTAGTTAGTGAGGCAGGACTGTTAAGCGAAGCTTGCTTTCTCTACAGCCTTATGCCTAGAGAAATTTGACAGAGGGACAGTCCCTGCATATATCTGAACTTAACGCTGGGTGCCATCTTCGTTTCCTGTCTGTACAGGACCAGGTGGACAACAGGAGCTAAGCAAGTGGTAACTGTGATCTCCGTTTCTCCAGTGAGTTATCTTAGAGCATCATAATTGTCATCTTGGTGATCCAGTTCATAAAATTCCTTTTATTTTACAGGAATTAACATTTAAATCTGATTTTTCTTTTTTCTTTCCTGCGAGTCCTTTTCAAGTGGCATGTATTTCTGTAAATGGTTTGAATAGGAAGCTCAGGAGTGTCATCTAGACTTTTTCTGCATTAGTCATTGCCTCTCAAATAGTTTCCTTGGTGTTACAATTTTCAAAATAGTTCTAATGAAAGTAAATTCTAAGCTTGAGGAATGTTCGGACACTTTAGCAATCCAACATGAGGAAGGACAAGTAACTTTAATGTATCTGTTGGTTTTTGAATATAATACTTAGTAGTTCAACAAGATTTGAAGAAAAAAAGCAAAATCCACCACAAGTTTCTAATTTTATTTTAACAATCTTGCTTTTTAAAAAATACAAGTTCTGATTAATGCCACAGGGATGCCAATGGTCCATTGGCCACAGGCCTTCTCTCTCATTTCAGTTTCTCCTCCTGGGAGTTGTCATCCTTTTGTCAGACCAGCAAACAGTTCCTTAGGAGGGAGCAATAAAATGTGAAATAGCTGAGTTCTGATACAAGGCTAATAACAGGACTCTAAGGGGCATATGTGTTAATACGGCACAATTTGGTTTAGCAAGGTATTACTGGCCTGGGCCAGTAATTTAATATTGGGCAGAATATATGGTGAGTTTGCAAGGTGCATTGGGTATGAGATGGTGTTGGCCCTGTAAGGGTACCAATATGTTTTCTGCGGGCAGATCTGTTACAGGGCAGAAAGGTGTAAAAGGACGTGAGTTCAGTTATCAAAGAGAAGGGAATTCAAAACATGGAGCAGGCTTATAAACAAGAAATTAGAGCTCTACACGTCTCTCTAGTAAGTAATTTAAGTGGTGGCAGAGCTGCCCTTCTGCTGCAAGGGGGCTTCTGCGCAGTCAACTGCTGAGAGAGCTTTAAACTCTCCAAGTAGCGTATTTACTAACAACCTAGTACCAAAAACCATGGCACTGTGAGGAATCAGTCCATGAACTTTTCTGTGAGGGGAATTTTATATAGCAGAAACACTAGTTTGAAAAGTCACCTCTCCAGGGCAATTTTCAGATCAAAGGACAAATATGAACTGCACTATTAATGCAGTCACGGGCTTGAGTATGCCATGACCAGATGAATTTCCAATATGCCCTTTTCGTGTTAATGGCTTCAGTGGAAAAAGGCACTCGCTGTTGAAACAGCAGCTGTGTTGTGTTATTCAGTACCATTTCTTAAGACTTGTTAATAATTCTGCTGTAATTCTTCTAGTGTCTCAACTGTGCTTATGCTTCAGTGCATTAGAGATGTCACTATACTCCCCTTGACACTATCATGAATTTGACCATAGGAGCAGCAAAACTTTATTGGGAGTGTAATGGTTGAATAAAGAAATACTTGCCAAAAAGAAGGTAAATGAGGATTTAAAAAAAAAAAAAAAACTGTTAAACCCAAGAGTAGCCCATGCTTTAGTTAAGGTACCACCTTGTTCTTTCTTGAATAATACCAGAGTTCTTTGAGTTTCAGGGGTGTTTTTGTTTTGTTTTATGCTGAAGAAGGTGTAAGGGAGCAAATCTCTGTACGAGCACCACCTACCTGCCCTTTCATCCCCTTTGGCCAGGAAATGAGCATCCCCTAGACACATCTCACATCACATAGGAAAAGTTCACAGTACTTAGTTTTACAATCACAGTCACTCACAGCACCAAGATTGTCTAGACAAAAGAAAAGTTACTGAAGAGAAGGCCACTGGCCAAAATTCACACAATGGCCCGGGAAGGGGCTCAGATTAAAAATAAAGCACTGGTGGGAAAGTTCAGCCTGGTCTTTGCTGGCTCTCCCTTTGGCTCGGGGAGAGCAGCAGGTCACCCCTCCTCGCTGCAGCTCTGAACGCATCAGCACTGTGGCCCCATCGCTTGTAGCCTGTCTGCTGCTCGGCCGCCCGAGGGCAGGGGAAGGAGAGCCCCATGGCACCACAGTTCTGCCTGTGGGAGTTGGAAGTTATCAGACTGTAAACATTTTATTGTAGCAGTATGTTGGAGCAGGCAGTGGATCCTGCTCTGCGATAGGAGAGGTGGGGCCGGAGGCCCTGGCCCACTGCTCCTGCGGCAGAAGGGAATGTGTGAATGTGCAGGGGCAGGAAAGGCCTGGGCTGTGCCTGTGGGCCTGCTCTCCTGCCTCAGGAAAGTAGGTGGTTGCATTTTATTTCCCCTTCCCACTGGGACAGCTTGAGAAATGGCACTGGACAGGAAACTGTGACACATTTTCAGTGAATGCAGTCCTGCCCAGATAACAAAATATAAGCCTGGGAGGCAAAGTCCTCCTCCTGTGCCTGGCCTTTGTGTTCCTGCTTTCATTTGACTGCTTTCAGGAACAGCTAGGGACAGGCAAAGGAGCAGGCCTTAACCCACAGCAAACATTCATGGATCATAAAACCAAAGATAATTGCATTTCTACAAGAGGCTACTTTACAACTAACTTTTTCCCCACCTATGCTTAACCACATGCATGTGGAGGACAGGATGCTGGCGTGTGGGCTTTCCCCGAGGTGCCTGAGCGGTAGCCTGGGCCTCTGCCACGCAGGGCTCCAGTAGCACTTTGCTTTCTGTGCGGAGAAGTGAGGGGCAGAGGGCCCACCGTGAGCAGCACCCAGATCCTGTGCCCTGCTGTTTGGAAGGGGAACGGTTCGGTTTGCTGGCATAGCCCCTTCGGGCTCTACCAAGCACATGGGGAGAGGGGCTGGAGGAAATCGGTCCAGCCTGTGTGAAGGGAGCCCTATGCGCTGCTTAAAAGAAAACCAACACTGATCCAATAAAACATGCATATTCACAGAGAAATGAGAGCCCCAGCAAGTGGGTGCTGCTATCTGAAGTAAGCAGTAGGCTGCTGTAAACCCTGTTCTCACCAGAAATCAATGTCTCGGTGGTGGTGAAATGGGGTCTAAGGCCCCGGATTCATGTGTTTCTTTATCGTGTGAAGTCAATGTAAGATGCAAAAGGTTGAATCACAGAGGTAGACGTTTTCAGCAAGGAGTAAGTGACTTCTATGCTCGCAATGACCAGGAGGCCAGCTGACTTCCAGAAGTTCCCAGCTGGTCTTCAAAGACCCTCTTCGGCTCTGCTTGTTGGAAAATGGAGGTGGCAGCTTTGCAAGCCCTAGTGAAACCAAAATGTGTTTCCTTCTGTCCTGTGCACACCCCAAAAGCAGGTCTCTGCTGTTCAGACCCTTTTCACATCTCATCGTGAGGTTGAAGAAAGGGAAAAATCCACTGGTCCCCGTTGATTGGGGGTGGGGGAAGGGAACAGAAAAGTAAGCCTCCGCGGTGGCAATGCAACACGATGGCCTGGCAGGCAGCGGAGGAGGAAGAGTTGGATCTTTCCAACGGTGCAAAGGGGACAAAAGCGCCAGAAAAGAACTCGCTGTCGAGGGCTGGCACGTTTTGCGGGAGGACGAGCTCTGCTGAAGTGGGGGGGGGGGATTG